ATGTGAATTAAAACCATAATATAGAATTAAAACCATAATTCTATATAGCATTATATAGAATTTGGCAATAATCTGAAGTCTGACAATTCCAGTGTTGGCCAATAGGTGGAGGAAGAGGAACTTTCATGAATTGCTTTGGGAGAAATAAATCTGTACAACCACTTGGACAATAGTATGCTTTGGTGAAGTTAAAGATGTGCATACCCTGAGAGCCATTTATTCCCTTCCTATATTTTTGTCCTAGATTATCTCTGACATGTGTAGCAGGAGACCAGTACAAAAATGTTGAGAGCTGTATTTTTCATAATAGCAAAACTGATTTCAACCTAATAGTGGAGCAGATAAGGAAACATTGATGTCATAAAATGGAATAGTAGTCATGTATAAAACATCATAAGTTAAACATACAACTGTATTGTACAGTGAGATAATGAAGTTATTTATATTTCATCTCATTTATTCATATTCAAATAAATTCATATTCAAATTTATTTATATTCAAACAACAAAACTAAAAATTTAATTGTTTATGATTTTACTCATAGGGGGCAAACCATTACTTCTTATGAACTGTCTAGCTCTTTATTTAAATTATAACTCACAATTCTAGGAAAAAGTACAAAAAGGAGAGCTATTAGTTCACCTCTTTTATGAAAGTGTTATCAGTAGAAGTGGAGTTTCGGGAGCTTTCCGGAAAAGAATTGCCTGAGGCCCCCGTGGGAGGATTAGGGTTCATGGAAAGCTTTAATGATGATGTAAGATTAAGAGGGTTCTCCTCCAAGGCCTCATCCCTGTCTACCTTGCTGTGGAAGAATTCCAGTTTTGTTTTTAGCAGGGCCAAAATTAAGGCCACTTCCCAGAATTTTGGTTCCATATTAAAGTCCAGTACAGTCCAGCATCAGACTAGCTTAGTTTGTGTTCCAAGCTGCAGTCCATTGCATGAGATCCCAATGGCCATGGCCATGCTCATGCTTAAGTTCACATGGCTCTAGTGAGTGTGCCAGCCATGAGCCAAGGAGAGCAAGAGAGCAAGACAGAAGAGGAAGGAATGAACAAGAGGAAGCTCTTTGGGGAATTTAACTAGGAGCTTTCCCAAATTAGCCAATTAACTTTATAGAATTTCCTATCTGATGGGGTTTACCCCCTAGCCAATCCATTGTTCCTGAGGTTAAACTGACAAGCAAGCACTTTCCTTATGTCACCCTGACTTCATTGGGTGTGCACCCACCTATCTCCCCTTTTGTCCAATCCCTTCCCCAGTGATCTGCAGGGAATGGACTGGTGGTTTCCTGAAGAGAGTGAAGCTATAGCTTCCTGGTGAAGCTGCCCAGATGACCATGTTTACAATCCCTGGCCTTCTCTTTGCTCTCCTCCAATTATTAATATTAATAAACTAGCTAATCCCAAGAATAACAAAAGGAGAAATGAAATTTAAATTAACCAAAAACATAACCTCAAATTAACACAGTTAGAAGGTGTTGGAACTAAAAACAACTCCCCAAGCAGTCTAAATTTTCATAGCTTATGTTCTCAGTCACTCTATGAATAACTCCATCTCCTTCATCCTTTTCTGCATTCACCAAGTTAACAAAGCCTATGTTAAGTTTCTAATATTTGTGTTTTGAATTTTTATCATGAATCCACACAAGAAGTGTTCTGAACCAAAGACACATTTTACAATGAATGTGTGTCACTTCCTGCTTGCCTCAGGTCTTACCCCTGGGGCAAAGGAAACAAACTTGGGAGAAGGAGGGGGGTAAGGGAGGAGTGGGAGTAGGGAAGGCACAGGTGTGTGGCTCACTTCCCTGGCTCACTTCTGCCTCTGTGACTTTCTAAATAACCTTTTTCTTGTATTTGAGTCTTGCCTCTGAATTTTTTCTTAGCCCAAAGTCAAGGACAAAGGTCTAACATCTGATTCCGATTCACCATTAACAGTCCGAGAGGTAACCAATGGGTCCTTATGGGAGAGATTACAGACATTTTATTATCTGTTAGGATCAAGCAATTAACTGGACAAATAGCTGCAGATTTAGTATTTATAGTATGTAAAGAAGCTAGGACTTTGCACAAGAGGAATCCAAGGAAGTTTTATTTCCCACAGCCTAAAGGGGTTAAGAAAGGAATCAGTGCTAGCTTTTATGGAGCTTCCAGAATAGTTTGCATTTGTTCACCTCCTACAATTTACAAATTATAAATCTGAGAAAATACCATTGCATTTATGAGGAAACTATTATTATGTTTTTAAATATATCTTATTGATTTTTTTACAGTGAGGAAGAGAGAGGAACAGAGAATTAGAAACATCGATGAGAGAGAAATATTGATCAGCTGCCTCCTGCATACCCCCTCCGGGGATGTGCCTGAAACCAAGGTATATGTCCTTGACTGGAATTGAACCTGGGACCCTTCAGTCCTCAGACTGACGCTCTATCCACTGAGCCAAACCGGTTAGGGCTATGAAGAAACTATTATAATGAATTTTCAGAGAAGGACAAGGAGACTCAGAGTAGCTGTACCCAGATGTTCAGGACAAGCTTGGTCATGCACCCACCGTTTTCCTCCTACTGAAGGCTGGCAAGGGACTTAGGAAAGGTGCTGAGTCAGAGACAAGCCAACACCTAGCTGGCCCTCCCAACTTATGCACAAACTTCCCTCCTTTTCCAGGTGACGCAGATCTTTCCTTTCCCCTATCATTAGGTGCCAGCCTTTGTGTCTATTGTGAAAGCTAGATGTGTTCCTGCCATCCTGGGGCAATGTAAATTCAATTTTACAGATTTAGAAACATTTAATCAAATTAGTATATCTGTGAATCACTGGAACAGCATTATACTTGTGACTGTTATCTTTCCATGAAGGCTAGGAAATGAAACCCTTCTCTACTAGATGATTTACCTAGAGGAAGTCCTCCACCACTTGCTTTAATCTATTTTTGCCCCTACATTGCACAAATTATTTGAGTTCTGAGGAAGAATCTGTTAGTGGTAGGAAAATAGCACCAGGTGTTAACGCAGTTCAGCAACCACAGTTCTTGAGTTGTGGCTAAGAGAAGAATTCAGAGCCAAGATTGAAGTTTCCTTAAAAAGTCACTGAGGTCAAAGAAGTGCGCCACAGAAGAAATGGACTCAGGAAACAAGTTACAGCAAAAGAAGGTCCCTTAGAGCTTGGGTGGGGGGAGAGGGAAAAGGAGAGAGAGAGAGAGAGAGAGAGAGAGAGAGAGAGAGAGAGAGAGAGAGAGAGAGAGAGAGAGAGATTGAGAGGGAGATAGATCAGTCCTGGGAAAAGAGGGGGGTGGGGAAAAGAAAAAGGCAAGGGTGTACTCCACAGAGAGAGCCACTCTGGGCCCTGCATCCTGAGGGCCTTTATCTGAGATCGCAGGGGAAGATCTCAATAAGATATCCATTAGCTTTCCTGGTGTGTCTCCACAGGATCATGGTCTCCACTGGTTGGTCAGTAGTGCTGGGGCATTGGTCATTGCAGCTGGTCCTAAGGTCAGCCAAGGCTTGCTTAGCCTGGTTTTGCTGTTTTTCTGGGCCTGGAGCCAGTCTAGAATTTCCCAGGCCCAGGGATTCATGCTCAGGAAATGGTCTTACAAGGGCTTATAGTATTGACAGTTGTTGGGCACCGGAGACTCTCATGGTGGTGACCCACTGCAGTTGGCCCGTCCTTCCTGCTCCGAGTACTCAGACCTATTTGACCTGCCTACTACAAATCCACCTTTCAACTTAGCTTCCAGCTTCAGTAAGAGGGAATCGGATGTATAATTGTTTGAAAAACAATTTTACATATTAATTTCATTGAGAGCTCTTTTAAAATATGTATAAACATTTGAAATATTTTAAACAGCCAGGATTAAGTAACAGATTGTTTACACTAAAATATAATAAATCTTTTATGTAAAACAGGGATTTTTTTCTTATTATTATTGATTTTTTACAGAGAAGAAGGGAAAGGGATAGAGAGATAGAAGCATTAATGAGAGAGAGAAACTTCAATCAGCTGCCTCCTGCACACTCCCTAGTAGGGGTGTGCCCGAAACCAAGGTATATGCCCTTGACTGGAATTGAACCTGGGACCCTTGAGTCCGCTGGCCAACACTTTATCCATTGAGCCAAACCAGTTAGGGCTAAAACAGGGATTCTTAAAGTGAGGGTCTGCAGGACTTTCAAAATTTATCAATTAAGCTTTCATGACCAGGAGTGAAACTATAATAAGAGAAGTGCCAGCCAATATCAGCCGTGTAGTGGGTGTGAGCTACAGTCTATTATAAGTTTACAGCATTTGGGTATTCAGGAGGAACAAGACATCACTTATATTAAAACAAACCAAAGCAAGAAGTTTCTGTAAAAAAATCTTTATTTTTATCTTATTTGTAAAAACACATCCATAAATATTTAACTTCTCTATTCCAAGATAGAGAGAAACAATGCATACTTGGCTTTGAACAAGGCATTATGCCTTACTAGGCAGACATAAAATGTCCAAGGGATATTTAGAACGTTAGTTCCTTCAATAACAGAAATGTTGACCACATACTGTGAAACTGTTTCAATAAATAACAACTGACATTCTTCTCAAAGGTACAAAAACAGACTTATACGGAACATTTCCCTGTGACCTATTTGCTTGAAAACCCCACTATTTATCCCCAGCCTTTATCATAGTGGGTGGAAAAACCCACCCAGCGAAATAAAAATATTAGTTGAGTGGAGAACATTTAAAATGCATCATCATCCATTAAATAACAGGCAGAACCAGCTTTGATGTGACATAAACATGACCATGTAAAATAACAGTACAGCAAATACCAGACACTTCCATGTCTTTAAATATTAGATAGAACTTTGAAAAATAAATACATTCACGTGTAAATAAATAGAAGAACTCTCGTAAGAAATAGTCAAACAAATTAAACACAGGTAGCCTCAGGCGCTCTTTGGGTCTCTTCTTTCACTCCTATTCCACTGAGGACCCCACAATAAAGCTTCCTCCTTCTCTGTAGGTCAGTTGGTGCTGGCCCTGTGATGAGAAAATGGTTGTTTATTAGGACTCAGAAACTTAGCTGGGTAACTAGGAGCTTTTTCAAATTAGCCAATTAACTTTATAGAAAATGCCAGGCTTACTGGATGCTATTTAATTGGGAATAAGGGACCTGTGGCCACACTTGTATTATTAGCTTCAAAAGGCAGAAAATAATGTTACACTAAAAAAAAGTACATGCGTAACATCACTTCAGCCTCATAGCAAACCCCATGAAGTAGATATTATTATTTCCCCCATATCATGGAGACCAGAGGGATTAAATACGTTTTTCCTGGTATAGGAATAGTAAAAATAACCTAGACATGCATTTGGAGCAGAGGATCCCTGCAAAGTCCTTAGTTATCACCACCACAAAGATTTAAAAGCCTGTGTTGCCCCAAATGAGGAGGTTCCACTTTTCCGCCTTAAAGCAACCTAGATGAACAATGTTGTTCCTTAATGGGCAGGAAGCATTCGAGATCATTGGCCAAATCCACCTACACTTTTAGGAAGACACATTCACCCACCCGCATTTGAAGGAGGATGGAGGGGGATGGGGTGTGTGGGTGGGGAGGAGGAGGGGAGGGCGGCGTAGCACCAGAGCACATTCATGATGGTGGTGGCAAATCTAATTGTGAAACAATGACTTGTCCCTCCTTCAGCTAACCCTGGGCTTCCCTGATACAGTCTTCAGGAGGCAGATGCCAACATCTGTCCCAAAGGACTCTGGTCACATAACTCACTTGTTTAACAGCGTCTTCAGTATCATCTTAACCAGGGAAGATGCGGGGTTGAGACAAACGTCCTGTCCATTCTTGAGAGAGGCTCTGCAGGCAGAAGGGAGAACCCAGGTGAGACAGGAGGGCGGGCTAGGGCCAGGGTGGGGGCATCTGGACAGTCGGGGTGACAAGGATGGTGGCAGGAGCGGAGCTTGGTGAACTTACATGACTTCTGTTTTGTCGCAGTAGGGTCCAGGGGAGGTCACCTTCACACTCTGGATGTACTTGGGGTGAATTCTATCCAAGTTCTCCAAGCACAGGCAGCGCAGTTCTCTGGCCACGGGCGCTGCTGCGGGGTCCACGGGCGCCGCTGCGGGGACAAGAGGCTCGGTTAGCGGGGACCACAGGCTCGGTTAGCGGGATGCCCCCATGGGCGCCCACCACCCATCACCCCCCTTCTCCTCCTGGGGCGCCCAGGGCGGAGTCTCACCTGCAGCTTGCCGGCAGGCGGCGACCAGGAGCAGGAGCAGGAGCGCGGCCCGGAGGAGCCCGGGAGCGCGGGCTGCAGAGGCGGCGGTGGCGGTGCGGGCCATGGGGCTGAGCTCGGAGGATCGGAGGATCGGTGCTGAGTGCGGTGTTTGGAGTGTGAGAGCTGGTGGCGGGAGAGCTGGTGGAGCGAGATCTGTGGCTCCCCGAGGCGGACGAACCCCTTTTATCCATGCTCGAGGCGGAAAGCGGGCAACCCCAGGACCTGGGAAATTCCCGGACCTGCAGGTCGTTCCCGGTCGCGGGGGGCGGGGGTTGGGGGTTGAGGGAGGAGGATCTGGGGTGCGGCCCCGCCTGACCTCCCCAGGGACTTGGCGGGCTTTGTGAGGTTCTCTTTCCAAATTCCCAATGCGGGAGCCAGTGGCTTAGTAAGAGAGGATGTCACTTATTATCGGAGACAGCACCCGTTGGGAACGCTAATCTAATAGCAGCATTCCTAAAGGATGTGTGGAGGGGGAAACGGACTGAATTTTCCCGATTATGTACGCCTAAGTAACTTCTGGCTGGACGATTTTATTTTCCTTTGCATAAAGGCACTCTCTGAAGGTAGCTCAATCTTCTCAGACGGTACAGAAGATTATACATAAAATTGTCCATCTGGTATTTTACAAGCACAGTTAAGTCACACTTTGTGTTATATCAGGGGTGAGGGGATGACCAGTGTCAGAAGTTTAACTCAGGTTTTTGGTTGTTTTTTTTTAAATCTAGGACAAAGTGTCTCAATCCGAGTTTCCTTTCTCTGTGAAATTCTGGAACTTCCAGAGAGATCTAGTAATCCCTGTGTGCGTACCTCCTCGTGTGCTTAGAGGGCGCTGATGAATCCATGAACTAGGAGCTGGTGGTTATTTTGGAGCTGCTGGAGGAAGGGAAGATTGCCTTGGGCTCAGGGGCTCCACGGTTTTTAGTTTTGTCCAAACACACACACACACACACACACACACACACAAAGTCAAAGGGGTCACAGCTGGTCTTTTCCTCCTGTTTCTACCATAAAGGCATCTGCTGATTCCAGCCATCTATTAATTGCTTAAGTCCATTTCAATTATCTCTGAGCTCCATCCAGTATATTATTAGACTTGGGCATTATTCTGAGTCTCTTAAAAGAATGGATTTCAATATAAACTTTCTCTTTCCACTTACTTAAGATTTGTTTAAAACTTTTGTGGAAGTAATAATGAGTAATTGCATTACACATAATATAAACCAAAGAAAAAAGGAATGCCAACATTACAAAAGAATGTCAAGAAATAGATATAGGAAATGAGGAAATGTCTTCATGGAAATATTCTTTATCACACTTAGTTATAACACGCATGGAAACAGCATGATGACCCTGTTTTGATGCTTCCTGTATAATGAAAGCAAATTTTAGGAAGTTGAGAGATGAGTTATAAACGTACTATGACATATGCTTAAATATTTCAACATTTTGAAATTTGTCAATACACTTTTTATGGTCCATATATGTTTCTTTTGTAAAATATTCCCTGTGTTTTTCTTTGGGGGGGGAAAGGTGATTTATTAAGTGAAGTGTCTATATACATCACTCAGGCCAAGTTGGTTGATCATGTTGCTTTACACTTCTATACTGTTGTTGATTCTTTATTGTTTTGTCTATTAAATATTTAAAGAGGTTTGCTAAAATCTTTAACTATGGCCAAGGATTCATCTATTGATCCTTTTAATTTCCCTCCATTTGTTTCCCTCCATATGCTTCCTTCCATTTTTTTTTTTTTTATTGATTTCAGAGAGGAAAAGAGAGGGAAATGGAGATAGAAACATCAATGATGAGAGAGAACCACCGATCTCCCACAGTGGGGATCTATATAGTCCTCAACCTGAGCATTGAATCCCGACCTCCTGGGTCACATGTTGACCCTCAAACACTGAGCAATGCTGGCCTGTATTTTAATAAATGGTGTTAGGTTCATAAACTTTTAGAATTATTTGTTTCTTATAATATTGCCCCCATTTTATTTTAAATCAGCTTTCTTTATCTCTAAGTCTACTTCTTTCTTTGTGTCCTAATATATTAATCAGGCTTTCATTAATATATAAATTAGCCAATATGCTAATAATTTATATCAATAATAGATTAATAATTACAAGTAATTAATACATTAGTACATCTATATTAAGGTTTCTGTCAGTTTTAGCATGATAGAACACTCAATTCTTTTAATTTCAAGCTATTTGAGATCTAATATTTAAAGGGTGACTTTTTATGCAGCATACATTTTTTGTCTTGTTTTTGTATTTAAAAAGTAAAAAAAAAATTCAATTTTAATTAGGATGCTTGTTCCATTTAAATTATTGTAATTTTTACTACAGTTGGATTTCAGTCTACTGCCTTTCTATTCCATTTGTCCTGTCTTTTTAAAAATAAACTTTAAATTTGAATAACTCCAGGTTTATGAAAAATGTATAATTATAATCATTTATCAAAGATAGGTGATTAACATTGGTACATTGGTACAGTTATAATACATATATTTGGTATTTAATTAATAACACTGTTATTAATTAAACTCTAGTCTCTCACTAAGATTTCACAAAGTTCCCATTGATGTCCTTTTCTTATTCTGGGATCCAATCCAGCATACCATATTGGATTTAGTCACCATGTTTTCTTTGTTTTCTTGGATCTGTGACAGATTCTCAGTATTGTCTTGTTTTTCCTGACTGACAGTTTCGGAGAATACTTATTAGGGATTTTGTAGAATGTTCTTCAGTTTGGCTTTTTTTATGATGATTTTCTGATGATCATACTGAGCTTATAGGTTTGGGGAAGAATATTATACAGATGAAGTGCCCTCCTCTTCACATCATGTGGGGGAGTACTTATATTATTAATACCATAACACAATGGGTGATAATAATCTCGACCACATGGTTAAGGTGGTACCTGCCAAATTCTCCACTGTAACGTTATTATTTTTCCTTTTTCCCCCTAATCTCTTCTTTGGAAGTAAATCACACCACCTGCCCCCACACACGGGAGGAAGGGAATTAACTTCCTCTTTTGGAAGGAGAGACACTATTTACGTGATGTACGAGGCTTCTTCAGCAAAGATTTGCCCCTTCTCTCTCGCATCACCTGTTGTTCTGCTCCTTTACTTCTTCATTTATCACCTTTTGTAATATTGAGGTATTTCCTCATTTTCCATTGTATCTCCTTTTTAGAATTTTATATCCAAAGTTTGGCAATTCCTTTTGAGAGGTTGCCCTAAAAATGCTAATATATCTTGCCCCATTACAACTTTCCTAAACTTAATACTTTTCTCAAACAATTGAAGAAATATGTCTATTTATCTCCCTGTCTGCTCTTTGTGTTACTTTGTCACGTATTTTACTTTAGAGTGTATTTTAACTCCATAGATAATAATGGATATTAATATTATAAATAACACAAATAGTTTGAGTGTTTAAGGAGGAACCCACTTTTTCATCTTTTGCGCTCAGCCTCATTAAAAAGGAAAAATTGCATATTTGTTTGAACAACCACATACCAAAAGCATTTAATAGGAGTCTTGTTAAAATATTTATAAACATTTAGAAGTTCATAAAGCGCTAATTTTAAATAATGAATTGATCAGTGTGGAAAATAGCTGAATTTATGTAAAACTAGGCTTTTCAAAAATAGGTGGGGAAGATAATGTGTTAAATATTCCTTCATAAGTAAGAGAAATGTAGTTCCCTCCTCTAAGGAAAGGAATAGGCAGGAGGAGGCTTAACGTAAAGCATGATCTGCAATCCAACTGTACAACACCTTGGGCATCCAGCGGGGAACCAGAGGTCAAGAAGAATAAAACAAAACCCAAACATGTTATATTTTGCAAAACGTTTATTTTGACACCATTTATAAAAATTTAACAGTAGTTTTAACTTCTCTGTTCTAAGACAAAGAGAGACATTGCAGAATGACATTAAACAAGGCATTATGCCTTACAAGCAAGACATAAAATGTCCAAAGGAATCTTCAACATCAAAATGTTGACCGAGTGATAAAGTAGTTTCAATAAATAACAAGTGACATTCTTTTAAACAAGTATAAAAACACATATGCACACTCTTTCCCTGACCCTAACATTGATCTATTTCATTGTCAAATTGCTTAGATTTTCCCCTCCCATACACCCCCCTCCACTTCCATCACAATGCCTGGCTTGTAATGGTCTTTCAATAAATATTAGTTCCATGAGATGCTTAAAACCCCTCATCTTCAAATTAAATAACAATCAGAACTAGTTATGTTTGATTAAACACATTCACATGTTTCACACCTTTAAATACATTAAAATGTTAAAATACAAGCTTTGAAAATAAATACATATATAAATAAATAGATCTCTGATTAAAAAAAAAACAATAAATACAGTAATCTCTTTCTAGTTGTCTATGGAATCCAGCTATTCCCCTCTTCATTTCAGTCCTGTAAGAGCAGGGACCTCCTTTCAGGAACTGCCTCCTTGACCTTCTTCTCTCTCAGTTGGTGCCGCCCCTAAGGTGAGAAAAGGGTTATTGTTACAGGTGTTACAGAAAGCCCTCTTCCCTCACAGGGCCTCTGGAGCTGGAGGAACTGCTGCACGCAGACCCTGGCCAGGCCCTGCACCCATAAGGCCCCACTGTGTCTTCTACTCTGACAGCAGACAGCTTGCTCCTTTACTGAGGAAGTGGGACTGTGGTCTCAACTTGATTATGTCAGACTGGGCTAAAAATGTACATGCATGACTCCACGTAATCCTCATACAGAACATTTCCCCCCCGAGGCTCAAAGGGATTAAAGAACTTTCCCAGAGATTTTAGATTTGACTTTACGATGGTCTTGCTGTCAAAGTCCCTGCTCTTCACTATATTACTGCCCAGGCCCATGTTGTCTCAAACCAGAGGTTCCACTTCTTAGTGTGAAAAGCAGCTGGATTTTATATAAAACTAGGTTTCTCAAGGTGGGTGTGGAGGATAGAGTGTCAAATATTCCTTCCCAAGGAAGAGAAACGGAAGGGAAAAAAAACAGGCAGAAGTAGGCTCAAAGTTAGGCATGATCACCTTGGGATTCAGCAGGGACCCAAGAGATCAAGAAGAATAAAACAAAATGCAAACATGTTATAGTCCTTGATGGGTAACAGGCCTTTGGCATCATTGGCTGAATCTATTTAGCCTTAGAGGACTACCCATTCACCCACTCGCATTTGAAAAGGGGATGAAGGGGGGATGTGGTGGTGGTGGGCACCAGAGCACATTCATGATGGTGGTGGCAAATCTAATTGCGAAACAATGACTTGTCCCTCCTTCAGCTACACCCTGGGCTTCCCTGATATAGTCTCAGGACGCAGATGCCAACATCTGTCTTTTAGTCACATAACTCACTTCTTTAACAGCTTGTCCAGTATCATCTTAACCAGGGGGGATGCAGGGTTGAGGCAAACTTTCTGTCCATTCTTGAGAGAGGCTCTGCAGGCAGAAGGGAGAACCCAGGTGAGACAGGAGGGCGGGCTAGGGCCAGGGTGGGGGCATCTGGACAGTCAGGGTCACAAGGATGGTGGCAGGAGCTGAGCTTGGTGAACTTACATGACTTCTGTTTTGTCGCAGTAGGGTCCAGGGGAGGTCACCTTCACACTCTGGATATACTTGGGGTGAATTTTATCCAAGTTCTCCAAGCACAGGCAGCGCAGTTCTGTGACCACGGGCGCCGCTGCGGGGACAAAAGGCTCGGTTAGCGGGCACCACAGGCTCGGTTAGCGGGGACCACAGGCTCGGTTAGCGGGATGCCCCCATGGGCGCCCACCACCCATCACCTCCCTTCTCCTCCTGGGGCGCCCAGGGCGGAGTCTCACCTGCAGCTTGCCGGCAGGCAGCGACCAGGAGCAGGAGCAGGAGCGCGGCCCGGAGGAGCCCGGGAGCGCGGGCTGCAGAGGCGGCGGTGGCGGTGCGGGCCATGGAGCTGAGCTCGGAGGATCGGAGGATCGGTGCTGAGTGTGGTGTCTGGAGTGTGAGAGCTGGTGGCTGGAGAGCTGGTGGAGCGAGATCTGTGGCTCCCCGAGAGGGGCGAACCGCTTTTATCCATGTTCGAGGCGGAAAGGTAGCAACCGCAGGGCCGGGGAAATTCCCGGGCTCGCACGTCGCGTCCCCTCGGGTCCGCACGGAAGGCGCGGGCCCCGCCCCGGAGGTGCGGAACTCGCCTGACGTCGCGAGGTGACTGTGCGGACTCCTCCAGGTTCCTCTTCTGCCCGGATCCCCAAAGCGGGAGCGAGGCGCTGTCCCGCAGGAGCTGCTGCCGGCGAGGGTGACCGGGGGTGCCCGGTGACCCCAGTGCCCTGGGCCGGAGCGTCAGACCTTAAGACCCAGGTGGAGGCTGAGCCACTTCTGCAGGGAGACAAGTACTTCTCTCAAGGAAACTTCAGTGGTTGGGATTGAAGAGAGGAGGGGTATGACAGCCTCTCTGATCTATCCCCCTTTTCTTTTTTCTTTAATGTAAAATGTTATATATATATTTTTATTAAAATAAGATATCAGTGCCCACCTAGTCTATTGATTCTCTGAAAAGGAAGCATTTTGAAGTTTGTTTTCTTACACTAATTTTTACCTCTATACCCATACATTGCAAAATAACTGTTAAACAATATAAGTTGCACATATTTCAAGTGAATACTATTCTGAAAATGGACATACACAGGCATTCTTACACCGCCAACCACCACAATCAAAAGAATGAATATATCCATCTCTCTTGAAAGTTTCCTATTAGTCCTTTACAATCTTCTCCCACTTCTTGTCCAGTTGCCTTATGTTGAGGCAATGGCTGATCTTTTTATCATTTTATATCATTTTGCATCTTTTAGAGCTCTTTATAAATGATTAATGAAATTTACATTTTTGTCTGAGTTCTTTCACTCAACATAATTATATTTTCTTTATATACTTTAAAACATTTTCAATTATACTTTACATTCAATATTTTGGTATTAGCTTCAGATATACAGCATAGCGGTTAGAAAATTGTGTAATTCACTGTTTCTCCCCACTCCCTGTTTCAAGCACCCACCTGGCTCCATACATAATTATTGAGTATGATTGACTATATTCCCTATGCTGTAATTTATACCTCTGTAACTATTCTGTGATTAACAATTTGTACTTCTTAATCGCTTAACCTTTTTCTCTGAGTCCTCTAAGCCCTGTCCCTCTGACAGCTGTCAGTCTGCTCTCTCTGAGTCTGTTTCTCTTTTGTTTGTTCGTTTATTTTGTTCTTTAGATTCCACATATAAATAAAATCATATGGTATTTGTCAGTCTCTGACTGACTTATTTCACTTAGCATAATACCCTCTAGATCCACTCATACTGTCATAAAAGGTAAGGTTTAATTATTTTTTATGGCCAAGTAGTTTTCTGTTTTGTGTATGTGCCACAGCTTTTTTATCTACTGATCCAATAATGGGCACTTGGGTTGCTTCCAGATCTTGACTATTGTATGTAACGCTGCAATGAACATAAGGGTGCATACATCCTTTCGAATTAGTGTTTCAGGTTTTTTTTCAGATATATTCTCAGAAGCAATTTGCTTGGTCATAAGGCAATTCCATTTTTTTATTTTTTGAGGACCTGCCACACTATTTTTTCCATTGTGGTTATACCAATATGCATTCCCACCAATGGTGAATTTGGGTCCTCGGTTTTTATTCATCTCTGAAAGAAATGTACTCCTTAAAGATACATCTGTCATCTCAGATTAAACATAAGAATGTTTGTTTTATTCCTGGTGTCTTTGAGCTCAAATAAATCACACTTGATGTCATGTTTTTCTTCATGGCACAGGGGTAAGAATGATGGGGCAGACCATTGAAGAGGTTAACTCAGAGTTTATTTGGAGATAACAATTTTGTAATCCCTCAACTTCCTTGTCTTTGAAATTCTCGGACTTTCCCAAATCTCCTAATCCAGGAGCAACATTTTTTGTTGTACAGGACACTGTTTTTCATTCCTGACAGTAATTGAAAAGCTATGAGGGTCTCGGTGGGCTCGGGAACTCCACTTTCCTAGTGCTCTCCATGGGCAGAAAAGACCATTGACACCAGAAAGAGACTTCTGCCTTTACTCCACTAGCAGCAAACAGATGTGTTCTTTGAAATATATTAATATTAAATTAGTATATTCCACTCCATGACATCTGAATTTGCCTGCCTCCTGGGGTTCTTTCCTGAGAAATTGTCATTAATGTACTTTAAAAAAACAAAACACTTTCTTTAAGTATTCATTTCAAAGAGAGGAAGGGAGAGAGACATCATCAATTTGTGGTCCCACTTATTTATGCATTCATTTGTTAATTCTTGCAAATGCCCTGACTGTTTCTTACATGTGCCCTGACTGGAGATTAAATCTGAAACCTTGGCACAGCATATTAGGATGACATTCTAACCAACTGAGCTACCCAGTCAGGGTGCCTATCAATGTGCTAATTTGTATTTATAAGAATTGCATTAAAACATTTCAAAATCTGTGTATCTGAAGCCACCTCATTGGATACAGTTGGCCCTCCTTATTGCTGGTTCCACATCCTCAGATCAAACCTCAGAAACACACACACACACACACACACACACACACACGTCAACAAAGATAGCTCTTAACGTTGCTGTCTTTGTTGACATGTGCTGTATAGTTAGGTCTACCATGTTGTGTCTGTACTGACATGTCAGGATTTTTTCTTGTTATTCCCTAAACAATACAGTATAACAACTATTTACATGGTAGTTACATTGTGTTAGGTATTATATGTAATCTAGATATGATATAAAAGAAATGGGATGATATACCCAGATTATATGCAAATACTATGTCATTTTAAAAAGGTACTTGAGCATGGTGGGGAGGGCCTGTTCTTGAACCAGTCCTCCACAAATACGGAGGGATGACTGTGATTCATTTTTCACCATCAATATCTCCTTTTAGATTAAATTGTAGATGGGTTAAGTTGCTTTTCCAGAGTGGATGCAGGCCTCTGGGATGGGCAACATATTCTGCCAGTGCTGTGAGGAGGGCTACATGTACAGAAAGTGGCCTGCCTCAGAAGCAGAGAGTTTGGAAAAGCTGTTAAGGCTAACCCCAGCTACACATTCACATGCCATCTAGCTCTCTGACCATGGACAATTTATTTAACTTTCTCCGTGCCCTTGTTTTCCTTCTGTAAAAGAGGGCCAGCAATAGCACTCACCTTACAGAGTTGGTATGAGTAATAAGTGTGCTTACATTTGTAAAACATTAGCAAATATTAGTGTTATATAATATTTGTTAAGGAAACACAATAGAAGTAGTGTTTTTCAACTTTACTGTATTGGACTAAATATTATGTCCTCCAAAAATTCATATGTTGAAGCCCTACAACGTAATAATATTAGGTAATGGAGCTTTGGGGAGGTAACTCGGTTTACATGAAGTCACGAGGACAGCATTATTGCATTTATAAGAAGAGACAACCAGAGAACTTATCTCTCTCTCTCTCTCTCTCTCTCTCTCTCTCTCTCTCTCTCTCTCTCTCTCTCTCTCTCTCTTCCCTACTGAGGACACAGCAAGAAGGCCTGCAAACTAGAAAGAAGGTTCTTACCAGATACTAAGTCTACAGACACTTAGATCTTAGACTTTCCAGCCTCCAGAACTGTGAGAAATTAATGTTTGTTGTCACCCAGCATATGGTGTTTTGCTATTGCAGCCTGAACTGATTAAGACACTTAGTTAAACAGAAGCACTCTGTGGTGAATCTTTATGCAAACAGAAAAATATTTCAAATAAACATCTTTTAATATATTATTGTTTTTTAATTTTCAGCATTAGGCTTTTTAAAAAAAAGCAATGCACCTATATTCTTTGGGGATCTTAGAGTAGATTTTTGAAATTCAAGGCTTGTTTAAAATTTTAGTTTCAATCATTTCCTAAAAAGAAAGTAAAAAGAAAATTCTCACCAATCTACTTCTGGGAAAATATTTGCTACGGGCATGAACAGCTGGCTGCCCAGAAATAGAAAGTATTATCTATAATTATTCCCAGACCCAACCCAAAGTATTGATGTAAACAAGTACTCAGAAATAGTACAATTTCAATTTATCTACAGTAGCAGCCAAAAGGATGAGGCATGCCAAAAATCATTACCTACAGAATGACTTACAATGTGACTCATGGAACTTGTTGAATCAAAATCATTTGTGTTCAGAAAGGAAGTGAAAATTTTTTCTCCTTTCATAACATCTCATTTCCATGATTTAATTTATGACAACCCCATACTAAGAAAAAAATCATCAAAAGAATGCCATACATTCCTCTATCTTTTATTCTAAGAAACATAAAATCATTTTTTATTGTTTGAAACATTACAAATAGTAGTACATATGTCTCTTCCCCCCCCCTTGACCTCCCCCCAGTCTCCCCTCCCCCCGCATATGCCTTCATCTGCTTCCCCCCACACCATGTCTTGTATACATTGGTTATGTTTATATGCATGCTTACAATTCCTTCGATTGATCTCTAAGGAAATTTTTAAAAAAAATAAATCTTTATTGTTCACATTATTACAAAAGTTCCTCATTTTCCCCCCTCCACCAGGTTCCCACCCCACCCTCTGCCCTTTCTCCAACCCCCATTGTCCTCATCCATAGGTGCACAGTTTATGTTCAGTCTCTTCCCACATCCCCCTCTCCCTTTTCCCCCGAGAATCGTCAGTTCACTCCCCTTCCATACCTCTGATTCTATTATATTCACCAGTTAATATTGTTCATCAGATTTTTTAAAATTCCCTCAGTTTTTAGATTCACTTGTTGATAGTTATGTATTTGTTGTTCATAATTTTTATCTTTATTTTCTTCCCCTTTAGCAATTCATATAATTCTGGTTTGGCAGTGATGAATTCCTTTAGCTTTTTTTTTTTATTTGTGAAGCTCTTTATCTGGC